CCGCCGATAAATAACCGAGTGGCCCGATCGTTATCCCGGTACGTAACAACAATTAAACCGAACGTTCAATTTCGTACATCATAATTGTTGCGATATACCTATTACCGGTATATTATAACGATACGAATAAACGCATAACGCACTGGCGGCATCCGGCGTCTCACATTTACATTTTAATTCGAGATTGTTTAACAGTTTTTTTTTTCCTCCTCTCTCTTTTAATTTACGCGCTATTGTCTCGGGACACACGGACAGGACGGCGGCGTCGGGTCGAACCGCCGCCGCGCGCGTGTGCACCTATTTACGGGTACGCGCGGCACAAACCGTGCCCGCGCGTCCGTTACGCCCGATATAAATTATGACGACGCGGGGCCGCCGCGGCCGTTTTCCCCGCGTCCGATTATAAACTCGCCTAATTATCGATCCGTGTAAAACGGAACGGCGCACAATTAACGTCCTATAGACGCGCGCGCGGGGCAACGGCGGCGGCTGCGGCGTGCGCGACGCGGATTTACGAAATATCGCCGCGCAACGTTACGCGGACCTAATGACAATTAAACGCGGCCGACCCGACACGGCGCGTCTCCTTTGCGTGCGTGCGCGCGCGTGTGCGTACTCCGGCGGTACGCAACGACGCGGCCCCGCGCTGAGCGTGCTGTCGGCGCGCGTACGGACGACCCGCGGCGGCGTCGGACGGAGGGGCGGCCGGTTCGCGCGCGAGTACCCGCGGGACCGGCGCGACCGTTGATTACGCGCCGAACGGACCGACGGCGAACGCGACACGGGTAGGTACCGCGGTGGGTATTCCGCGATCGTTCCGCGGCGCGCGTTTGTTTACGTGCGCACCGTCCGTGCGACCGTCTCGAATGTGTTCGCGATTCCGCTTTTTGCGTTTCGACAAATGCCGGGCCTTTCATATAGCGTACAAACGGCCGTTGCTCGAATTGACGGGCGACGCGCGGGGGACCGGAGCGCCGCGGCTAGTTTTCCGGAAACGCGAGCGTACCTGTACTAGTTTTTTCTACGGGGGGGGGGGGGGGTTAATTTATCATTAAGAACGATACGAAGAAAATAAAAAAAATACCCTCCTTTTCGCACCGACGAGACACGGATTTTTACCAGGAACCAACGATTCTAAAGAACAAACATATCGTTACAAAATAGAATCATAGTAATAACCATCAAATAAGAATCTAAAATAAATAACATTTACTATTGCACTATGTACGCGAAAGTATAGCGCGCGGTGTAGGTATTGTTTTCGAAGATTATAAATAATGGGGTCAAGATTCGATTTTCTCAAGAGTTTTGTCAACAAATGTGAAAAAAAGTGATAATTACAATATAATGGCATAATATTTGATTGCCTAGCCGTTCCAATTGCTAATCAGTAGTTTATTTAATAAAACAACGAGAGTTAAATCGCTTTCCGAAACCGATTTGAATTATCTGAAAGAGAAACGCAATATTTGAAAAGTAACCGGATACACTTTGAAATATCATCTAATACACAATAGTCCGCGATACAGACTTATTATAGAAATATAGTATTGTCTACAATGCTGCGGCCACGCAATATGTGCGTGAAGGTTTTTAAATAAATACAATTGAATAAGTGTTTGCTGTATTCCGATTATTTTTGTATATTATTCAATATTTATTTTTATGGCTACGCGTAATAAACGCATTATGAACATACTATTTAGTACGTGTTTTTAATCGAATGTTAAAACCTAGTATCTATAAAATATAATGACATAATAATTGATTATCTAGCCATTTCAATTGCTAATAAGCGATCAATTAAAAAAACAATAATTGATTTAAAAAAAACAACGAGCTTAAATGGTTTTTCGAAACCGAATTAAATTATCTGAAAGAAAAAAATAATATTTGAAAAGTAACCTAATACTTTTTGAAATATTATCTAATCCATAATAGTCAACGGTACAAACATATTATAGAAATATAGTATTATAATAGTAGAAGCATTGTTTACCTTAAACAAAACATTTTGTCTACAATCTTTCACGGGGCCCTGTGGCGCAATGGATAACGCGTCTGACTTCGAATCAGAAGATTCCAGGTTCGATCCCTGGCAGGGTCGCAGCCAAATTTTTTGCGAGGGTTAATATTTTTTATACGCACCGACGTCCTCGCAACCCCGGTCTAGCGGCGAATAATTAATTNACCTTACTAATACACTTCGAAAATTTGGTTATTAATACGTCAAAAAAAAATCTGGTTTATTTGAATTGTAATTTTATTTATATTTTATTTTTTAACGATTCCGACCATATTTTCATTAAAATACAATATTTATGTAGACATATCAGTATAATATTAATAATGTTGTACGTATATTTATTTTTAAATAAGTAGGTATGATTTTGATTATTTTTTTAAGCGTTTTTTAAACGTGAAATATTGTGTAAAGTCGAATATAATGAAAAAAACACGGTCGTGAAGTGTAAAAAATATCGTCAGCAACTAATCGCAAATTCGTGATCTTGTGACGGTGAGGTGACGGTACGGTGAGAACATTTATTGTAGCGGTGGGCGCGCCGGGCGAGTGAGAACAAGCGTATTAAGATACGTTTTTTAAGACAAGCCTTTATCTTTAAGAATATTTTTTAAATCCCTGAACAGTCACGGCACTGTCCCGTCACAGGTGTGTATAAATAGACCTTTAACGTTGGTTAATTTATTTATTTTGTTACCTTGTAAAACACCGTTTTTACTGTTTTTCACCTAGTTTATTTAAAACGGTTTGAAGAAAATGTGTATGTCGTTTCATATTCATCATGTTTTTTTGTAATATAAACAATTTTATACAGATTTAATTTGAAAAAATCTTACTAATCTACAACAAACCTGCTAAATACTCGCAAAAATATAATTTTAATAATTTAAAGCACAAAATGCAATAAGTATAAAGTATAAAAAAATATTATTTCCAATGAAAACATGATTAAAATCGTCGAAAAACAAAATTGAAATGTTCTTACAATTCAAATCGTTTTATTTATTATGGTCCAAAACAGTAACCGAAAATAAAACCGGGAAGTCGATATTCCGAGTAGTCTGTATAGTAGGTATCCTTACTAATACACTTCGTAAATCTGGTTATTAATACGTCAATAAACATCTGGTTTATTTGAATTGTAATTTTATTGTCTGACGATTCCGACCATATTTTCATTAAAATACAATGTTTATGTATAGTAACCGAAAATAAAACCGTCAAGTCGATATTCCGAGTAGTCTGTACAGTAGGTATCGGGTGCACTTTGTCATTGGATAGGTCACTGTTATGGATGTGTTAAATTTGAATTCAATAATAAGTCATTGTATGCGACGGAAAACTTAAATTTTCCTATTTATAATCAATCGATTTTATTTGACAAGTTATTACTAAGTCAACCTAATGGTAACCAGTATGCAGATAATAATATAAGAATAAAAAAATAGCTGATACTGGGAATGNTATTCTGTATAGTCTGTACAGTAGGTATCCAGTGAACTTTGTCATTGGATAGGTCACTGTTATGGATGTGTTAAATTTGAATTCAATAATAAATCATTGTATGTGACGGAAAACTTAAATTACTCATATTTATAATCAATCGATTTTATTTGACAAGTTATTACTAAGTCAACCTAATGGTAACCAGTATGCAGATAATAATATAAGAATAAAAAAATAGCTGATACTGGGAATGTAAGCGGCCGCTGTTTTAGGTGTGAAACTGGGAAGGTAGGATACATTAGGTTATTTCATTTATATCTATAAGCAACGATAAATCGACAGACGATTCCGAGCGCAATTCGGTAATACATAATTGGAAATGCCGTAATTGTTTAAAACATAGAATACAATAAGTTTAACGTATATTTAATTATTATTTTCCAATGAAATATTATTATATTAATATTCCAATTTAATACACTATGAACGTACTGTTTAGTACGTGTTTCTAGTCGAATGCTAAAACCTAGTAACTATAAAATATAGTGACATAATAATTGATTATCTAGGTATTTCAACTGCTAATAAGTGATCAGTTAAGAATACAATAATCGATTTAATAAAACAACGAGACCTCTATCGTTTTCCGAAACCTAATTAAATTATCTGAAAGAGAAACCGTATATTTGAAAAGTAACCAAATACCTTTTGAAATATTGTCTAATCCATAATATTCCGCGGTACAAACCTATTATAAAAATATAGTATTATCTACAATGCTGCGTCCTCGTAATACGTGTGTGTGCGTTTTCGAATAAATACCATTCAATAAGTGTTTACTGCATTCCGAATATTTTAATAATAACCGTACACTAGTGCGGCTTATTCTCTCTACACGTTGTTATTATACGCTCGACGTAATTTTTACCCGTCACTTAACGTCCGTATACCGCGTTTCGTGTACGAATACACACCACTCGGGTATGCTTGCCGTACCGTCCAGAGTCCGCGGCACAAACGTATCACGGAAATACAATGTTATCTCCCACGCTGCGGCCTCGTAATACGCGCGTGCGTACGTTTTCGAACACATATCGTTCAATAAGTGTTTTCTGTATTCCGATTGAATGCTTATCGAATATTTTATTATTATTTTTTTTTTATTCGCTGTAATTCACTTTTTATTTTTACGGCCACGCGTAACTAACGCATTATGAACGCATTATGAACGTACTATTCAGCAAGTGTTTTGAATCGGATTTTAACAATTAGTTACTATTACAATATAATGCCATAATATTTATATTATATAATATTTGATTACCTAGCCATTCCAATTGCTAATCAGTGATCGGTTTATTTAAAAAAACAACACCGAGACCTAAATCGTTTTCCGAAACCGATTTAATTTATCAGAAAGAGAACCATAACGTTTGATAAGGAATCAAATACTTTTTAAAATAATATCTAATATATAATAGTTAAATCAACGTTTACCTTTAATAAAAAATTTTATCGTAAACCATTCATCGGCTCTGAGGCGCAATGGATAACGCGTGTGACTTCGAATCAGAAGACTCCAGATTCGACCCCTGGCAGGGTCGTAGCTAAGTTTTTGCGCTGTTTATTCTTTTTTATTTACACCGACGTTCTCCCAACCGAGGATCAGTGGGATGAATAATGAATTTTATGTTACAATCATAGGGAGTTCAAGTCACCGTGTCAAATATAGCACTAATATGTCATTTTTTAATTGTAATACCTTACAAATACAATTCGCCAGCACTAATTCAGCACTAAATTTTGATACTTTAGCGGATTTTGATACTTGTACTGCATCCCCTAACTTCATTCAGGGACGGAAGATAAGCCCCCGTGTAACTTTTTCTGGTCAGAACATTAATTTTAAAAATATTACCGTTTGCTAGCACTAATTTAGCAATAAATATTGATAGTTGAAAGAAAATTAGTGCTCAATATCAGCGAACCTTACGGACCTAACTTTTCTGCATAATTAGAAACAAAAACAAATAAACAATTAGATATTAGTACCGGAAATACCTAAAAACCCAACTATTTCGATTTTCGTAGGGATCTCTAATTTTGTTGAAAAATAAATACGGCCTAAGTTACTCGCTAATAATGTATCTTTTTGGTACGTGAAAGAATTTTTTAAATCGGTTGAATAGTTTTTGAACTTATCCATTACAAATATATAAACAAATATTTTATCTTTATAATAATATTATTAGTGTCGATTTATTTTTGTCTTTATGCAGGGGGGTTAGAATACATTCATGTCTGTCGTACAAGCCCACTAAACTAGATTTAAGAGCGGTCAGTAGTGCTCCTAATACTGGGTGGGGACGAGCTAAAATTCTCTAAAGAATGCGGATTTCACGGTCACGGATCCTCCGGTTCGCAATCCCCGCATTCGCGTTCGCGACGTCCCGCCATGCGTGAGCGAGGCATTGCTAGTAGAGTGCGCTGTTCAACGGAACCTGGCCGTACGGGGTGACCGTACGGCCGACCGGGCTATGGAAGGCTTGAAGCCCATCGTCAAGGTCGGACCGCGTCGCACCGACTACGTCGACTGGGTGCGCGAAAACACTCCAGTGGTTTTCGCTGCGCTTATAAAGGCGAACGCGCTCTGATTAGAGCGGTCCCGGTCGCGTGCCGGTGACACCGTCACCGTGTGACACGCTGTCACCACTGCCTGGGCTCCGGCCCACACGGCGATAGTGGTGTGCCGTGGCAAACTAGCGCGCGCCCATTGCGGCAAAACCGGGCACGAGGTAAATGCGTGGCCGTGCGCGGCGGGATAACCGCGGTGTGTCAACTGTGTCCGCTCTCGCGCACCACCTGACCGCCGGGCGACGAGTGCGACTTGTCCCGCTGCCGGGAAAGATCACCCTGTAATGGGGTGTTCACAGGACGCGCAGGGCTGTTCGCGGCCGCACTAGCCGATATTTTGAGAATCGGGCGGATTGGCTCGCCTTCCGTGCTCGCCCGGACGCGAACCTTTCCCCGCTTGATGATGCAGCCGACAGAGCCGAAGTCGAGTACGGTGTTTCGGCGGTCTTAAACGCTCTCGTTAGGACACGTGACGTCTCGATGCACGGTCTCCCACGGTGCAGGCCAAAAACCTGCACCTTGGTGGACGGTCGAGGTCGCCGCTGCCCGCGGGGGTGTCCGCTGGGCCAGAAAACGCTGTCAGGGAACGAGGAACGCAACCGACCGCGAGGCAAACAGACAGGTTTACGTTTCACTCAAACGCGCTCTGGTCCGGCTTATCCGTAAAACGAAGGTCGAGTCCTAGCGTCAGTTTGTAACGAGAGTGGTGAACGTTGACCCATGGGGTCCGGTACACCGGCATTACGTTAGGAGTGACGGCCAGTGTTTGCATAGCCGTAACGTTGCGTTGTCGGCGCTCCGCCTCCGAGATAATGGCTGCACATTAACAGTACCTCAGAACCTCCAATTTATGATCGATTCGCTTATGCCGTCGGACACAACAGTGGATGGAGGTGACCACCGCAGAGAGTTGCGTGCTTTAGCTGTCTTCCTATGTTCTGTCTGGGTGAGCGCAAGGCGCCCGGACTTGACCGGATTACGGCCGGCATCCTCTCACAGGCTCTGCCGATTCTAGTCCCGGTGATCACGGTGTTGTACAACTCTTGGCTGGTCGGTCAGACAATTTGGCTTTATTCCTAAGCGCTCGGCGGAAGACGCGATCAACGCATTGCTCGCCACAATGCGTGATTCGACTGCCAAGTACGTTGCCGTCGTGTTCATCAATATCTGGGGAGCCTTCGATAACGCTTGGTGGCTGTCCGTCACAGCAGCATCGGATTGACGCGACACCCCGCCAGACATATACAATCCTCGTCAAAGACTTTTTATCGGGTCGCCGCGCGATTATCCGGCGTTATCCGGTCAAAGTCGAGAAGGAAATTTCGAAAGGATGCCCTATTCGAATGAACGGTGCCCGAGTTAAGTTGGTCCCGAAGGCGAAATACCTCGGAGTCATACTCGATCGAAAACTCAAGTTTGCCGCACATGTTAACTATGTAGCCGATAAAGCTGAAGGTCCGGTGTGAGAAGTTGGGAAGGTAGGGAATGCATTGGGTTATTTCATTTATATCCATAAGCAACGATAAACCAAAAGAGGATTCCGAGCGCAAATCGGTAATACATAATTTGAAATGCCGTAATAATATAAAGCATAAAATACCAAAAGTTTTTCATCATCATTGAATCATTATTTTTCAATGAAAATATAAATTTATTTTTATTTTTACAACCACACGTACCTAATACACTACGAACGTACTATTTAGTACGTGTTTTTAATCGAATATTAAAACCTAGTAACTATAAAATACAATGACATCCTTTTCGATTACCTAGCCATTCCGATTGCTAATCGGTAATCAGTTTATTTAACAAAACAACAGGACTTAAATCGTTTTCCGAAACCGATTTAAATTATCTGAAAGAGAAACATAATATTTGAAAAGTGACCGAATACTTTTTGAAATATTATCTAATCCATAATATCCCACGGTACAAAAATATTTAGAAATCTAGTAATATCTATAATGCTGCGTCCTCGTGTGTGTACGTTTTCGAATAAATATAATTCAAAAAGTGTATTCTGTATTCCGAATATTTTAATAATAACCGTACACTAGTGCGGATTATTCGCACTACTCATTGTTATTATGCACTCGACGTAATTTTTACCCGTCACTTAACGACCGTATAACGCGTTTCGTGTACGAATACACCACACTCGGGAATACTTGCCGTCCCGTTCGAGTCCGCGGCACAAACGTACCTTAGAAATATAGTATTATCTACAATGCTGCGGCCTCGTAATACGTGTTTGTACGTTTCGAACAAATATCGTTCAATAAGTGATTTCTGTATTCCGATTGAATGCTTTTCGAATATTTTATTATTTTTTTTTTTTATTCGCTGTGATTTGATTTTTAATTTTACGGCCACGCGTCCCATACACGCTGTGAACTTACTATTCAGCAAGTGTTTTGAATCGAATTTTAACAATTAGTTACTATTACAATATAATGACATAATATTTGATTCCCTAGCTATTTCAATTGCTAATCAGTGATCGGTTTATTTAAAAAAACAACAACCAAACATAAATCGTTTTCCGAAACCGATTTAATATATCAGAAAGAGAACCATAACGTTTGATAAGGAATCAAATACTTATTAAAATAATATCTAATATATAATGCAACGTGTACTTTTAATAAAAAATTCTACTATAAATCATTCATCGGCCCTGTGGCGCAATGGATAACGCGTCTGACTTCGAATCAGAAGACTCCAGGTTCGACCCCTGGCAGGGTCGGGGATTATTTTTTGCGCGGTTTATTTTTTTTTATTTACACCGACTTCTGCTGGGGTGAACATTTGATTTTATGTTATTGTTAATTTGTAATTTTTTAATAGTAATACCTTACAAAAACTATTCGCCAGCACTAATTCAGACTAAATATTGGTAGTTGAATGATTGGTGATTGGTACATTTTGTATGTGAACAAATTTTTTAAATCGGTTGAATAGCTTTGGACTTATCCATTACAAATATATAAACAAATATTTTCTCTTTATAATAATATTATTATTATTTTTTTTTTTTTTTTATCTAAAGGCTTCGCCTTGTCACTGCACACATTCTTCTCTTTTTTCTGCTGATCTTTTCATTGCTTCATAACTTGATAAGGATTATAGCTTTTTTGTATTTCCTATGCTTGTGTCTCTTGGTCATCCTCTACCTCTTTTACCATTTATCTTCCCCTCCATAATATTTATAATGAACGTGTCGTGTCGCATAACGTATCCAAAAAACTTTANTATTTTTCTTATTTTTACAATTTTGATAATTTGTCTTGGCTCCTATAATAAGCTTAAAACTTTCTTAGTCCTAGTTTCGCTTCCATATAATAGCACACTCCAAACAAAAATTGTAATAAACAATTTCTTTATTCTAAGTCATAAATGCTTGCTTGTTAAGAGATTCTGCTTTGTAGTGAAAGCTTGTTTAGCCAAAGTTATTTTCATTTAATTTCTATTGTATATTTATTTTCCTGTGTGATGTAATTACCTAGGTAGCAAAATGATTTGACTTCATCTATAGCCGTGTCATGTAGACTAATAGTTTCTTCCATTTTTTTATTATGCTCGTCTACTATTAATATTTTTGTCTATTTAGCATTTATTTTTAATTTCATTTTTTCTAAAGTTTCTGATAATTTTGTCAACATATTATTCAAGTCAGGTTCATTCTCTGCTACTATGGCTATGTCATCTGCAAAATTTATGCTGTGTATTTGATTTCCATTTATTTTTACACATTTCGTTTTTGCTTTGAACTTTTTAATGGCCCTTGTAATATATATATTGAATAACATTGGTCATAGGTAACAACCTTGCCATACCCCTCTTTTAATCAAAGCAAATTTGTTAGTATCTTTTATGTCGATTTATGTCTTTTATGTCTTTTATGTACCTATTGATGTTTGTATAGTTGGAGAATGATGTATCTGTCCCTCCAGTATATGCCTTCGTCTCTCATTATTTTAAATAGCCGTTTCCAGTAAACATTATCAAACGGTTTTACGATGTCTCAAAACGCTACATAGTTACTCTTATTTATATCTAATCTTCTTTCTAACAATATTCTTAATGCAAATAGCGCTTCTTTTGTTCCTTTTCCTTGTCTGAACCCAAATTGGTCTTCTTCAATATTTTTTTCCACATTACGTTTTATTCTATGTTTTATTATATTTAGTAGAATTTTTGAAGTAAACGATAACAAAGATAAAGTCCTATAGTTATTGTATTCTGAATTTTTATTAAATCTGACCCGGCTGCTTTCTTGTTTTTAAGCTGCTACAGTGCGGCGTCAAATTCGCTTTTGATAATCGACGGTCCTTGTAAGTCTATTCCTACTTCACTTTCTAGTTCAATTCAATGCAGGTCTTCTGTGTTACTCTCTCCATTATATAATTCTTTCAAGTATTGTTTCTATTTATCAAATATCTCCTTCTCGTCTAGTCATAATTTCCCGTCTTTGTTTCTTTTTATACTACTTTTTGTCCTGTTTTTGAATATTATTGATTTAACTATCTTATGTTCCGTCCATCTGGCCATTATGTATCATATTTTCTATTTGCTCTGCAATATCTTTCATCCATATTTTTTCTGCTTCTTTACATTTCGTTGATTTATTATATTTTATTCTTTTGTAACGTTGGTAATTTTCTTTTTCCCTGTGAGTGTTTCTTTTATCAGGTCCAGAATTTCTTTTGTTATCCATGGTTTCCTAGGTACCAATTGTACACTGTTCAGAGTTGTATTGTCTGCATTTAATATACCTTCTTTAAACGAACTCTAATCAATAAGCTCATCCGTTCTTATTATGTTTTCTTTTGTACTATTGGCAAGTAATGTTTTTATCTGTACGTCTTTTAGACTCTGAACCCATTTTACCGTTTTTTTACATTTACTTGACATTTTTTATGTTTTAAAAATCACTTTGTTATTAGTTTTTGGTTGCAGTCCACTTCTGCACCTGAGTAACTATAACATAATTTTATAAGAGTATTAGAGTTTGATTTTACTAAGATATAGTCCATTTAATATCGGTTTATTACTTCTGGAAAGGTTCATGAGTATCTTCTTCCCATCGGTATTTTAAACATTGTGTTTGACACTATTAAGTTATATTGTGTCCATTAACTAGCAACACCTTTTTCCTCTTTCGTTCCTTTTTGCAAGACCAAATTTCTCTGATTCTCTATTGTCATACCCTTCATCAATTACTGCGTTAAAATCGCCCACTAAATATTACTAGCACTAAATATTGGTATTTGAAAGAAAATTAGTGCTCAGTGTCAGTGAATATTCCGGACCTAATTTTTCTGCATAATTAGAAACAAAATCAAATACTCAACTAGTATCACATACGCATTAATTTCCAATATCCAATATCCAATGTTCTCACGCAGCGATAGTTCTCACCGACCCATTTCTCAGCGCAGTTCCTCATTGGACACGGTGCTTTTCAAGCATACTTGTATCAATTTGGCATAAATGGCGTCGTGGTGTGCGACTGGGACGGGTCCCTCATGTAGGACTCGTTGCATGTTCTTTAGCACTGTCCGCTGCAAGCCGAGCTACGATCGCAACTAACTGAGGCCATGTGTAGCTCCCCATTAGATGCCCGGATAAGAGCTATGCTGAAAAATGCATTCGAAGGATACAAAACGCAGTAAATAGGAACGTAGAATGTACGAACAATGATAACAATAATGAAAACAGACAATTAGAAAATGTGAAAACAGAAATGAAAAGACTGGATATAGAGATATTAGGATTATGTGAAACACGATGGGCAGACAGTGGTGACTTTTGGTCCGATGACTTTAAAGTTATTTGTACAAATAGTACAAGAAGGCAAGCGGAATTATTTCTAACAAAAAGTGGGATACAAGAATTAAAAATGTGGTAAGCTGTAGTAGTAAATTATGCCTTTGTTAAAATGGAATCAATATCAACTAATTTTGTAATAATATAAGTTTACAAGCCTACATCAAAATCAGATGATAAAGAAGTTGAAGACTTGTATACAAGCATTATTCAACTGATAAGGAAATATTAGGTCTGATAGATGAGAGAAGAAAATACAAAAACAACAGCATGAGAGAAGGGTGACTTAAATATCATCATCTAAGGAATCAGATTAACTGGGGAGCCTAGAAGTCCTAGAAGATTCGGTTTGAAAATCAGTGTAGAGAAATTGATGAGTTCTTCAAAATTAATAAAATAGATTATGCGTACCAAAAGATCCAGCTTTTTGTCCTTAAGAAAAGACAAAGCTTATCATCACACATAAGAGATGCACATGGCCAAATATTATTTGACGACATAAATATAGTGAAACGTTGGAAAAAATATCTTGAAGAGCTTTATGATGGAGAACAGCTGGAGAATATGGAAATAAACAACGAAAAGACGGAGTTAACTACTCTACGATCAGAATAATATCTAGCACTAAATGATCTAAAACAAAATAAAGCACGTGAAGTGAACAATGTAGTAGCAGATCTACTGCAATGTGCCAGCAAAGAAATAAAGGACGCGTTATACCAACTAATGATAAAGTAGAGGTACTGAATAATAACTGTAAAAGTATAATTGTAGCTATACCAAAAAACTTGTGAGCAGTTTAGAACTTTGAGCCTGCTAACACGTGTCTTAATAATCTTAACAAAAATAATAAACTGGAGAATAGAGAGTAAAAGTGGAAGAATATTTAGAAAATTTTCAGTGTGGATTTAGAAGTCAAAAAAGTACACGAGAAGCAATTCTAGGACTATGGGTGTTGATTGAAAAGCAAATTAGGAGACATATTTGGCCTTTATAGATTTAGAAAAAGCATTCGACAATGTAAACTGGAATAAAATGTTTATTTTACTATGAGAAACAGGTATTGTTCAACAAGACCTACGGATAATACGTCATAGTCTGTACAAAAATCGGATGGCCAAGATTGAAAATGAAGAAATAACTGCTAGCGCACAGAAAAAAAAAAGGAGTCGGACTTTTAAAATATTTATATATTTATCTAAATAATATATTTACTCCCGTAAGCTTGAGGTTGTGATGGAGTAGAGTGTTCAATAACACAAAAAGAATACAGTTTTTCTTTTTTTTTATTGAATATTACATCATATACGAGTACATCACATCAGATGTTGGCAAACGACAGAACTTAACAGTGTATAATTTCTTTCCAAATTCGTAAACAAATTTGTAATTATGTTAAAATAATGATAATACGTGTGTGACTAAAATTCAGTATTTGGTAAATCAATAAGTGGACCGGTACTTTAGTATTTTCCCGGGCCGAAATCTCTCCCCGATCCACCCCTGACGTAGTGATTGGATTTTAACGACGTATACAGTCTAGACTACGACGTCAATAATGTATTCATTGTAAATTACGTTCACGACAACGCTGAAAATATTATTCCATTAATATCATGGTGCTATCGATTGATGGTGCCGCCGCCGATGACATCGTAGACAATGGATAGCGACAATGGTGGCTCGAAGTATTTTCACCTTGAATCACCGATAAACGTTCGCCAGCCACCCACCTCAACCCTAAAATACCACCGCCCTGCCACAAATGTATTGGAAATTGTTGAATTTCAATTAAGTTTGTAAAATCGATCGTATTTCCGGAAGTCTAAAATTTTTTTAACGACTCGTTTTGCGAAAACATAATAATTTTTGTTAAATTTTTGAACGCCCGCAATCGATGGACCGTGGATGATGCGCCCGCGCGGTTTTTCGCGGACCACGTGATTAAAATACACCTGCTTCGAGCCGCCCACCGGATAGCGGTGACGTTACACTGCACACAACTAGCCGGAGTTGTAAAGCCGTTGTGCGTCGCGCGTACAATTATTGTTATTATTATTATTATTATTATCATTACGATCCATTGGCTACGATGAAAATTACGATTGTGATAATCATAACGCGCGAATACGAAGATCGGCGGGGCGGGGCGGGGCGGGAGGGGGGGGGGGGGAAACGCCGCGGCAATGCTGCCTAACGGTAAAAATGAATAAAATATGAACTCGTATGTCTTTATTGTGCGCGGCTATTATAGCAATGCGGTTACGGTGCAGGTAGGTATGTCGTTGACACGTTGACCGTATTTTTATACACGTGTACGCGTATAAATCCGCATCTCTATAATATATCCGTACAAATTGTACAGCCGCGGTTCGTACCGTCGGCGTAATGGAAAAGCGTAGGAAAACATATGCCCGTCGACGGCGAGCGCGCGGCTGCGGGTAACGGCCGCTTTACGCGTAGTTGCATAAACGTTTCGCCGCACCGGAAAAACGAAAAAAAAAAATCGTATAAGAAGAGCTGTGACTGCTCATAACTTCGTTCGTGATATTTTCGACATCGACGCATCGTAACGGCGTAATTGTTAACTGCTAGTTAACTGCTGGTTTGTCCGCGCTAATTGTTGATAATTTATTGACAAACGCGTTCCGTTTACCGTGCGCTTTTTCATCGTCCAACCGAACGCGATCTGGTTGGCGATTCATCGTGCCCGATGATGGTGTAGAAATGACGTTCGATTATTTGTTCAACGCTCGGTCCGCTTTTGTTGTTACGAATAATCGATGGCCGGAATAATTGTCTCGTGGACCGTCTATTGTTATCCGTCTAGCGTCCCGGCGGTTTTTAAACTGTCGTTCGTGGACCTTGTCGAAAATGTCGAATTTTCAATGTAAAAAAAAAAAATTTATAAACAAAAACGTATAGATAAAAATAAAAAAAATAAATAAATGAACGAACGTGTCGCCCGGAGTGCTACGACAACGGTATTATCAGAGTCTAATGTGTAAAACGCGACCGAATTCATTAATGAATTTTTGTTTATTTTTATGCGTATACATTTCTGTTATTTACTGAATTCGTTCAACTCCGTTTATTTACGAGTATTATCAATTCTAGCAATTTTGTTTGTACTTTATAGTTTTTATCCTGTTTCCATACGATTTTACGTCGGTAAAATCATTCGGACCGCGTAACAACGACAGACAATTAAATGCGAGATTTATATTACCGAACGTCGCGGCGATGATAGCGCGCCCCTCGGCCTTTAAGCGTCGTCGCATCGGCCACCCGTCGCCTGAACGCCGTCGGATTATTATCGTGCGCATCACGACCGGCAATCATTATCACGATTGTTATTGAACTGGCATAACAATAGTTGCGCACGTGCGTCGCGAACCGTACGTATTTCGCGGGCCAAAGTCGACGCGCGTTGTAACGAAAAACTACGGCGCTGTAATGCTGGTCCCGCCGTTCCGTTTCGAAAAATAAAACCGCAGTGGAAAACGGCATTTCTCGTGTATTGTTTGTTGTTTTTTTTTTTTTTTTTTTCTACCGGTACGACAATATTGTACAGGTATCCCCGGACCCGCGTTTCACCGGGTCCGTATAAAAACGCGTTCGCACGCGGTATAAAATCGGACACGGCACTCGGTCCGGCGGCCGCGTGAAACGGCAGGCGTAACGTGACGCGGACGGCGTCCGAATGAAAAACGCCGGTCGGTTTCGCGGCGCGCGCACTATAAATACGATAACGCGCCCCGGCGACGGCGATATCGGCCGTGGGGACGGCAACGCGCGCGCCGTGCCCGCACGAATAATCGCGCGCGAGCCGCGCCGCTCGTCTTTACCGTACGCGGTACGCGACGCGTTGCGTTCCGCATCGGGCGCGCCGTTTCACGGCACACCGGGTAGCGCGACAATGGAAACCACCGTACGCCGGCCGCGCCGCGGATTATTGTCGCGCGCGCTCGGCGCACGTTTTTGCGCGTCGCCGAAACGCGCGCGCACCGCGTCACGCGCGCACGAATCCGCAGCGCGACAGCGCGCGCTCGCCGTCCCGGGCCCGCGGTCCGCGGTCCGCGCGTGCGTTTTCGTTCAACGGACGTCGTCCGACGAGTGCGTTTTCTCCTGCGTTCCGAACGGACGCTCTTCCGAGTGCGTTTTATTCGTTTCCGTTTTCGCTCGCGTCCATTCGCGCGATTTTGATTTTGCGGCCGCGCGTAAATCGTCCGGAACGGAAACGCGATATTTGAAAAGCGACCGAACGCACATTTCGAAATATCCTATCCGACACACAATGGTCCGCGGTATTATCCGCGACGCCGCGTCCTCGCCGTGTACGCGTGCGCACGTTTACGGACGAATATCGTTCGACGAGCGCCCGCCGCGTTCCGAATATTTCAATAATAACCGTGCGCCAGTGCGGTTTACTCTCACCGCGCGTCGTTGTCAAAACGCTCGACGTAACGTTTACCCGTCACGTGACGTCCGTATACCGCGTGCGGCGTACGAATACACACACACCGCTCCGGGTGCATGCTTGCCGTCCCGTCCGCGGGGTGCGCGGCACAAACGTACACCGGAAATGTAGTATTACCAACGGGAATTGCCCGGAAACGAATTCGCGACGAGTTAGACAACGCCACGCATTGCCGTTTACCGTCTTGAATTCACATAATTAACGATAATATCCAAACTAATTCTATAAATGGAATTTGTACGCGTTATCGGTGCGCATTTTATCGTTCGTTACAATAAAATAGGAGTATCGGTGTGCGCGCGACGCGTGAGATTATTTTTAACTTCTCCGAACAATTTTATTCTTATCTACGCGACGACGACGACGAACAAAATGGATAGGTTGCGGGTAACCGGAAACCCGCGGGCCGCCGTGCCGCACAATACGCATTGGCAGTGAATAATTATAATCGTTAATTGCTCCGCTAAAACGCGACGTTTTTCAAAACCCATTCTTATTGCACGGTGAAAATACGAGAAGAACCTCTGTTCCGGATTTCAAGTCCATGCGTTGAGTAGTTTTTGAGATACGGCGATCGGTCAGCCTGTGGTATTTGGATTTTATGTGTATAGATGTACAACGCTGCGGCCCCGTAATCCGCGCGCGCGTACGTTTTCGGACGAACATCATTACAATCGGCGTTTTCCGTATTCCGAATGAACGATTTTCTAACGCGCATTCCGAATATTTTACTTTATTTTTTTTTATTCGCTTTTTGATATCACGGCCACGCGTCCCATACGCATCACGAACGTACTGTTCGGCAAGTGTTTTGAATCGAATTTTAACAATTGGTTACTATTACGGTATAATGACATAATGTTTGATTACCTAGCCATTCCAATTGCTTATCAGCGATCGGTTTATTCAACAAAACAACAACGAAACATAAATCGTTTTCCGAAACCGATTTAATTTTTTAGAAAGAGAAACGTAACGTTCGATAAGTAATCAAATACTTTTTAAAATAATATCTAATATATAATAGTTAAAGCAACGTGCACTTTTAATAAAAAGTTTTATCGTAAATCATTCATAGGCCCTGTGGCGCAATGGATAACGCGTCTGACTTCGAATCAGAAGACTCCAGGTTCGACCCCTGGCAGGGTCGTGGCTCATTTTTTGCGCGGTTTAATTTTTTTTTTATTTACACGGACGTCCGATGGGGTGAACAGTTAATTTTATGTTACAACCATAGGGAGTTCAAGTCAGCGTGTCAAATATAACACTAATATGTCATTTTTAAATTGTAATACCTTACAAATACAAGTCGCCAGCACTAATTCAGCATTAAATATTGGTATTTGATTGATTAGTACTTTTTATACGTGAAGAAATTTTTAAAATCGGTTAAATAGCTTTAGACTTATCGATTAAAAATATATAAACAAATATTTTCTCTTTATAATATTATTTTATTATTTTTTTTTTTTTATCTAAAAGCTTCGCCTTGTCACTGCAACAATTCTTCTCTTTTTCCTGCTGATCTTTTCATTGCTTCATAACTTGATAAGGATAATAACTTCTTTGTATTTCCTATGCTTGTGTCTCTTGGTCATCCTCTAACTCTTTTACCATTTATCTTCCCTTCCATAATATTTAAAATGAACGTGTCGTGTCGCATAACGTACCCAAAAAACTTTATTTTTCTTATTTTTACAATTTTGATAATTTGTCTTGGCTCCTATAATAAGCTTAAAACTTTCTTAGTCCTAGTTTCGCTTCCATATAATAGCACACTCCAAACAAAAATTGTAATAAACAATTTCTTNTTCCCCTCTATAATATTTATAATGAACGTGTCGTGTCGCATAACGTATCCAAAAAACTTTATTTTTCTTGTTTCTACAATTTTGATAATTTGTCTTGGCTACTATAATGAGCTTAAAACTTTCTTAGTCCTAGTTTCGCTTCTATATAATAGCACACTCCAAACGAAAATTGTAATAAACAATTTCTTTATTCTAAGTCATAAATGCTTGCTTGTTAAGAGATTCTGCTTTGTAGTGAAAGCTTGTTTAGCCAAAGCTATTTTCATTTAATTTCTATTGTATATTTATTTTCCTGTGTGATGTAATTACCTAGGTAGCAAAATGATTTGACTTCATCTATAGCCGTGTCATGTAGACTAATAGTTTCTTCCATTTTTTTATTATGCTCGTCTACTATTAATATTTTTGTCTATTTAGCATTTATTTTTAATTTCATTTTTTCTAAAGTTTCTGATAATTTTGTCAACATATTATTCAAGTCAGGTTCATTCTCTGCTACTATGGCTATGTCATCTGCAAAACTTATGCTGTGTATTTGATTTCCATTTATTTTTACACATTTCGTTTTTGCTTTGAACTTTTTAATGGCTCTTGTAATATATATATTGAATAACAAGGGTCATAGGTAACAACCTTGCCATACCCCTCTTTTAATCAAAGCAAATTTGTTAGTATCTTTTATGTCCATTTATGTCTTTTATGTACCTATTGATGTTTGTATAGTTGGAGAATGATGTATCTGTCCCTCCAGTATATGCCTTCGTCTCTCATTATTTTAAATAGCCGTTTCCAGTAAACATTATCAAACGGTTTTACGATGTCTCAAAACNAATGCAAATAGCGCTTCTTTTGTTCCTTTTCCTTGACTGAACCCAAATTGGTCTTCTTCAATATTTTTTTCCACATTACGTTTTATTCTATGTTTTATTATGTTTAGTAGAATTTTTGAAGTAAACGATAACAAAGATAAAGTCCTATAGTTATTGTATTCTGAATTTTTATTAAATCTGACCCGGCTGCTTTCTTGTTTTTAAGCTGCTACAGTGCGGCGTCAAATTCGCTTTTGATAATCGACGGTCCTTGTAAGTCTATTCCTACTTCACTTTCTAGTTCAATTCAATGCAGGTCTTCTGTGTTACTCTCTCGATTATATAATTCTTTCAAGTATTGTTTCTATTTATCAAATATCTCCTTCTCGTCTAGTCATAATTTCCCGTCTTTGTTTCTTTTTATACTACTTTTTGTCCTGTTTTTGAATAATAATGATTTAACTATCTTATGCTCTGGCCATCTGGCTATTGTGCATCATATTTTCTATTTGCTCTGCAATATCTTTCATCCATATTTCTTTTGCTTCTTTACATTTCGTTGATTTATTATATTTTAATCTTTTTTATTGTTGGTAATTTTCTTTTTTCCTGTGAGTGTTTCTTTCTTTTATCAAGTCTTTTAAACTCCAAAGGTCCCACTTTACCCTTTTCTTATCTTCTACTTGAAATTTTTTACGTTTTAATAAGCACTTTGCCGTTTTTAGTTTATGGTCACTGTCCACTTCTGCACCAGGGTGGCAATAACATGATTTAATAAGAGTATTAGAGTTCGATTTTACTAAGATATAGTCTATTTGATATCGGTTTATTACTCCTGGGGAGGTCCATGTATATCTTCTTCTCATTGGTACTTTAAACATTGATTTTGACACTGTTACGTTGTATTGGTTACAAAAAACTAGTTACACCATCCCCTTCCTTATTCCAAGACCAAATTTCCCTGAGTCTCTATTGTCATACGTTTCATCAATTACTGCGTTAAAATCGCTTAAAATTATTACGCTATCCCCAGATTTAGCCAGCTTCAGGGCATCTTCGATTTGCTCGTACATATTTTATAGTTCTTCTTCAGTGATATTTGATGTTGGAAAATAAACTTGCAGTATGATAATACTTCTTACTAATTACACTATTAATAATAATAGTAATAATATTTGCAATACTTCTTGTCTGAGTTTCTATCTTTACTATTAATAATCTATCACTTAAATGTAAGGTGTTTACAATATTAGTTGCCCAATATTTTCCTGAAGATGAGAGCTACACCTCTATGTCCTTGAATTTTATTTCCACTAGTTAAAACTCTTAAATCGTCACTGTTGAAATCGTTATTAACTTGCCATCGGGTAATAATAAATACGACCCAAGTTACTCGCTGATAATGTAGCTTTTTGTACGTTAAAGAATTTTTAAAATCAGTTGAATAGTTTTTGAACTTATCCATTACAAATTTATAAATATTTTGTCTTCATAATAATATTATTAGTGTAAATTTATTTTTGCCCCTATGGAGGAGTGGTAGAATATATCCATGCCTGTCGTAAAAGCCCACTAAACTAGACTTCAGAGCGGGCAGTGATGCTCCTAATAATAGGTTGGGATGAACTAAACGTTATCCTCGAATCACTAGTAAAGTGATTGGACTGTTATAAGGAAGGCAAGGGGAAAACCACCACATTAACATCCCTAGTTAGAAAACTATTATTTTGTCATCTGAAAATAGATTATCGTCGAGTAAGAAGTTAGTCCGGACATAGAATAGCTCTCTATTAGATGCTCGGGTAAGGGCTATGCTGAAAAATGCATTCGAAGGATACAAAATGCAGAAAATAGGAACGTAGAATGTACGAACAATAATGAAAACAGACAAATTAGAAAATGTGAAAACAGAAATGAAAAGACTGGATATAGAGATATTAGGATTATGTGAAACACGATGGGCAGACAGTGGTGACTTTTGGTCCGATGACTTTAAAGTTATTTGTACAAATAGTACAAGAAGGCAAGCGTAATTATTTCTAACAAAAAGTGGGATACAAGAATTAAAAATGTGGTAAGCTGTAGTAGTAAATTATGCCTTTGTTAAANTGGAATCAATATCAACTAATTTTGTAATAATATAAATTTACAAGCCTACATCAAAATCAGATGATAAAGAAGTTGAAGACTTGTATACAAGCATTATTCAACTGATAAGGAAATAGTAGGTCTGATAGATGAGAGATGAAAATATAAAAACAACAGCATGAGAGAAGGGTGACTAAAATATCATCATCTAAGGAATCAGATTAACTGGGGAGCCAAGAAGTCCAAGGAGATTCGGCTTGAAAAGCAGTGTAGGGAAATTGATGAGCTTTTCAAAATCAATAGAATCGATCAACAAATTGTTTGTCGACCAGCCTCGAGGTTTGACTATCGTGGGCTACTGGCCTACCGGGTAATGACTGGTGGACCGCACGGATATATTAGGTGACCAAAGAAGAAAATGAATATGGATTTTATGTGGTTACTATTTTATGTATCGAAGTAATTAAAATATACTTAAATTACTACGAAAATAGAAAGGGGGGATGAAGGAGTTGCTTATTACTGAAAAACAAGAATTTGCAATACTTACGATTAAGGGGTACAAATTAAATGGGCGGTACGCTGACCGTAAACCCGATTGATGAATAGGCAAATACCGTTGAAGTGGACGATATTGTTTGCTAAACACGATGTAGGACCTTGGCGAGTAGCAAGGTGCCACACAACTCTAACCGGGGAACCGTGAGACGTTCATCCGTGTGCTCTAATGTCAATGCCGCTACTTTTGATTTCGCGGTGATAAAATGTATAGTAGTAGGTTTGGATTTGTAGAAAAGCCGGAGATAGACGACAGCTGAATAGCCTTTCAGAGAAGCGTCGGAGAAGCCAACCAACTGGACGTCACAGCTTTCTTGGACGGGAATGTGCCGGTGGAGTTTTACATGCGTTAAGAATGGTAACTCAGAGGATCAATGACACTTGTGGCAATGACGTAGCGTAATGTGACGTAGTGCCCATGAAAATCCATCCCAACTGGGTTTCGAACGCCGAATAAAGATCGGGAGAGTGTCGAACACGGAATGCGTCCAAGATAATCTGATGATAGACATTAGCACCCAGCAGAAAGTCAATATATCCCGGAGTGTCGAAACATGGATCCGCGTACTGCACATCCGAATATTGTGCTTGAATGACGGGGAGGAGTCTGACAGCTTGTATCAAGCCGGTTATTTTTTAAAGGATGATTGGCTCGCATGAATATTCCGTGGATGCCGTTGACCAAGAGGTGAAATGGCACGTAGTCACTCTTTTAATCTTTGACACTGGCATTTGCGACAATCCAGCGACCTCGATGGAGCTTGCCGTCGGGGCAGCTCAAGTGTGGAAGCACACTGATGAGTGATTGCGGATACCTGAGATCCTGAATCGACGAGTTCTCGACACGAAATCCATTGCCCACATTGACTACGGATCCGGAAGCAGGCTGTTCTTAAGATGGTCAAATTAGAGCTGATAGCTGTGCCCACGAACACGGAAGAGGTAGAATCGGGTGACGACTTTGGCGATGATGACGAAGAACTGGTGCTCAGACTCGAACCAGAAGATCCCGTCTCATTTGATTTGTTAGTGTCGAAATGGATCATCGAATGATGTTTGGCCGAACAGTGCCGGCACAGATGTTTGGAGCTACACTCGGAAGCATTGTGGCCGAGCTCAAACAATTTCTACATAAACGATAGGTGTGGATCGTTTTGACTCTTGCTGTTATCTGTTGTTGAGAGAACCGGTCACATCGGTACAACGGGTGAACACTATTGCAAATTGTTGGTGCTGTTGCATTAGTTACCAGAGACGCTCGAGTTCTAGGTGGCCTTTTTTTTCTTGTATAAGGTTTGCCCATAAGCGATGGCAATTGAGTGGACGAAACCGCACTATTTTGCAGGACTTGACATCGTTTCTGGACATACTTGAGTAGGTACTCGTGGTCTAAGTGTGTTGTGACTCAAACAGACATTTAGTATTGGAATCCAACACGCGTGACGCGATGTAAAACAACAAAAAACCCTCCGGGATCCAGTATTTGGAAACCGTTGAGCGCGGCGATATTCTCTCGAAAGGTGTCGAGAAACCGTTTTGAATCGTCCAGTGATGACGAACGTAATGGGGGAAAACTGAGCAACCTGTCCAAGTGGCAATTCATAATTAAACGTGGGTCGTCGACATTTTCGTTTAGTGCCTTCCATATTACCCCGTAGTTGGAATCCGACAACGAAGCGCAACACGGCGCCAGCATTACCGCTTACGGCGGACAAGAGGTAATGGTATTTTTCGACGTTAGACAAACTGCCATTGTCGTGGACTAATGACTTGTAAATGTCACGGAAAGCAATCCAACGAACGGTGTAAGCGTCAAATTTCGGTAATTGGATTTTAGGCAGCTGAATGTGCGGGCGATCTGAATTATTACCCGCGACCTCGGACGACGTGGAGGGGTCGTCGATGCCAGGCTCTTGAGCAATGGCCATGATAGTATAGTATTGATCCAATATGACGAGTCCAATCGGCACGCGTACCGATGGGTACTCACTGCCACGTTCCAGTTGAATCAGTGTACCGTGAATGGATTCCTGTTCAACGTGAAATTTAGATAGAGGTGATTCGATGTCCCGCATTCGGGCACGAAACAACGGAAGGGAGTCTGCATTGATCTTGATTTTTCGTGCTAATTCGTACAACAGGTCCGTCTGCGCGACGATTGCGTCACGTTTGAAAATAGTCCGTGTCAGAAGAAGAGTTGCGCGTTCGGTTTCAGTGGCGTTAAACACCATCAAATGGGTGGGGGGGGGGCGACGACTCGACGGAAGAACGGATTTTCGACGCACGAATATACTGAACGCAGACTTAAACGACGAAGCAGAAATTAATATCGGTGGACTGTGCGACGTAGATACCTGTATCCGGCCCGATGGACCAAATGTTTGGCGGCCAGCCCCGTGGTTTGAGTATCGCGGGCTACTGCCGACCGGGTAAGACCGACTGGAGGACGGCGCGGGTATATTAGGTGACCAAAGAAGAAAACGAATATGGACAGTATGCGGTTACCACGGTATGTATTGGAGTGATTAACGTGCAATTAAATTACTACGACAATAGAAAGGGGGGGGGGGGGGGGTTGGCTTATTACTAAAATATCAAGAATTTGCAATATTTGCGATTAAGAGGTACAAAAGTGAATAGGCGGTACGCCGACCTGGGAACCTGACTGATGAATATCGGTCCGGCAGCGCGGTGCGCGGGCGATCGTTCCCGGCGCGGACGACGCACGCGTGGTGGGTACGGTTCACGCACGGACGGCGGCCAAGGGGCGCGTTTGCGACACTAAGAGTGCAGGTATATATTCATAAATACGCATACGTCACGGCGGCGTAAAAGAAAGAAGCATACGCGTCACGGAGAGTAAAACGAACTGAACTCGCAACGATGGAAAGAGCGACGCGATGCCGTCGGTGCGCGGACCGGTCTCGCCGGCGGCGAAATCGCGTGCGCCTCGCTAACCGCGCGTTATTGCCGGGCGCGCGCGGCGCACAAACGCGGAGCGCGCGATAAGACGGCCGCCGCGCCGGGTGAGATCGCCAAGTGACGCGGACGATACGAACGGCGGACGCGTGTACGGCCGCGTACCGAAAGATCCGGCTTTTTGTCAGGAAAGGAAAGGCGAAGCCACTCGCACACGAGAGACGCACAGATGGCCAATTCGTTGTTTGGCGACATAAATACAACGGAACGTCGGGAAAAATATCTCGAAGATCTTTTCGTGGCGGAGAACAGCCGGAGAACACGGAAACAAACGAAGAAAATACGGTGCTGACCACTGTACGGTCGGAATAACGTCTAGCGCTAAACGGTCTAAGGCGAAACAAAGCGCTCGGAGTAGACGTTCCGCGGTAGCGGATCCACGGCAACGCGCCGGCACGGAAATGAAGGATGACGCGTACCGTGTGAAACGCTGTCCGCGCGCGGTACGGGCGACCCGCAGTGGCGGCGAACGAGGGGTACTCGGACTATGCGCGGTCTATTCGCTCGACATTTCCGGGACCGGTCGACCGGCGCGCCGCGGCGGACCAATAGCAAAAGCGATACCGCTCGATACCGCCGACTTCGGTGGCTATTATTGCGCGGAGCACGTTTTGTGTTTTTGTAAATATTCCGTATAACCGTCTTGAACGTGTTCGCGAACTTCGATAAACGATTCGTATTGTATAATAACCGTTGTTCGCATTGAGTGGGTCCCCGGGGTGACGGAGTACCACGACCAAATTTTCCGGTAAATGCGAGTGTACCTTCGTTAATTGTTTTTTGAAGCGGAACGCGTAGGACGCAGTGGAGGACACAAGGTACCGTGTCCGGATAGAGCTGAATATGAGTGATTATTATCATAAAAGTATTCAGCGGGATTTCTGTCGTCTACGATTGTTTTTTTTCATGGCACGAACAAAACGGAGTAAAACAGTAGCTAACACTTAATAGATACGCGTTTTCCCCGAGTCTTTTCTAGGGGTTTCTTCGTAACTAAGAACAATATTATAGATAATCAAAATATGACCTCCTCAACGCACCAACGAGACAACGGTTTTTTACCAGGGACCGACGCGTCGGAAGTTAACAGTTGGAGCAAAATTTCCGGTACAAAAGTTGTTCACATACAGAAAAAGAACAAACATATCGTTGCAATAGAATCATAGTGATAACCATCAAATGAGAATCTAAAACAAATAATACTCGCTGCTGCACAATGTAAGGAAAAGTATAGCGTGCAGTGGTGTTATTGCAGGTATTGTTTTCGATGGTTATGAACTGTGAATTATGTTTTAGAACTGGTGTGGGTTGGATTGAGTTCGATAGTGCAAGAGACGCTTATTTTTCTTTTGCGCTTATTCTATTAGATTATTTAATTAGTTATTAATCGGGGCACGGGGCGACAATTTTCTTTTCTAATATTACCATATTATAATTAACGGTTATTGAAAAAGTAAATCAACTATGGCCATTCATGTTGATAATCAATACTGTTAGGATAAAAATAAAGATTATTCAAATTTAAAAAAAAAACCTAGAAAATAAAAGACCATACTTTAAGAAAAGTTTCAACAACAAAAAATTGTCCAAAAAAAAATTATAGTTAAATTTTAAATTTTAGATTCTGAGCGGAGCGAAGAAGCTTATAGTTTCACAATGAATTGCGCGCAACTTTTCTACCGGAAGATTTGCTCGGATTCCTATGTGTAGCATTTTTTTTTTTTTTCTTTTGAAAGGGAATCGGCGTTCGGAGATATTTGAGTACGGAGGTCAAGTTTCGATTTTCTCAAGAGTTTTGTCAACAAATGTGAAAAAATTGACTATTATAATATAATGGCATAATTATTAATCAGCCTTAGCCGTAGTAATTGCTAATCGGTGTTCGGTTTATTTCACAAAACAACGAGACTTAAATCGTTTCGCGAAACCTATTTAAATTATCAGAAAGAGAAATGTAATATTTGAAAAATAACCAAATACTTTACCGAAATATTATCTAACAATACACAATGGTTCGCGGTAGAAACATATTATAGAAATCCAGTACGGCGAAACCTCTGAATAGCGGACACTACCGGCCACCAAAATTCCGTCCGTTATTCGGAGCGTTGTCCGTGTACGATTACACCGTTTCTGCGCAATCTCAACAGTGATATCATTCGTAAATGTTACAGCGGGAGAAAAAATAGAACTGCTCATTACGCCTATTGATGTAAAGAAAATGACTTACGCCATTTACGGTAGACAAAGCATCCTGTAAACTAATAACATGCTATTTCGAATCTAGATAATAAAAAATATTTTTTAATGTTTTGTAATATCTACGGCGCTGCGGCCTCGCAATATGCGCGTTGTAGGTTTTCGAATGAGTATAATTTGATTAGTGTTTTCTGTGTTCCGATTGAATACTTTTCGAACACGTATCACCGAACATTTCATTTTGTTTTTTGTAATTCGCTAAAATTCACTTTTTATTATTACGGCCACGCGTGCCTAATGCGTTATGAACGTACTATTCGGTTGGCGTTTTTAATCGAATTTTAAAAACTAGTGACTATTACAATATGATGACATAATATTCGATCACCTGGCCATTCCAAAATTGCTAATCAGTGATCGGTTTATTTAACAAAACAACAACGAGACCTAAATCGTTTTCCGAAACCGATTTAATTTATCAGAAAGAGAAACATAGTAATTGAAGAGTAATCAAATACTCTTTGAAATATTATCTAATCCATAATAGTCCGCGGTACAAACTTATTATACAAATATATTATTGTCTACAGTGCCGCGGCCTCGCAATACGCGCGTGTAGGTTTTTGAATAAATATAATTGAATAAGTGTTTCTGTATTCCAATCGAATTCGTATTCCGAACATTTTATTTTGTTTTTTTTTTTTTTTTTTATTCGCTATAATTCACTTTTTATTTTTACGGCCACGCGTAACTAATGCGTTATGAACGTACTATTCAGTACGTGTTTTTAATCGAATTTTAACAATTAGTGACTGTTACAATATATTGACACAATATTTGACTACCTAGTCATTCCAATTTCTAATCAGCGATCGGTTTGTTTAATAAAACAACGAGACCTAAATCGTTTTCCGAAACCGATTTAATTTATCAGAAAGAGAACCATAACGTTTGATAAGGAATCAAATACTTATTAAAATAATATCTAATATATAATGCAACGTGTACTTTTAATAAAAACTTTTACTATAAATCATTCATCGGCCCTGTGGCGCAACGGATAACGCGTCTGACTTCGAATCAGAAGATTCCAGGTTCGATCCCTGGCAGGGTCGTAGCCAAATTTTTTGCGAGGGTTAATATTTTTTATACGCACCGACGTCCTCGCAACCCCGGTCTAGCGGCGAATAATTAATTTTATGTTACAAACATAGGGACTTCAAGTCACTGTGTCGAATATTTCATTAACATATAATTTCTAAATTGTAATACCTTACTAATACACTTCGTAAACCTGGTTATTAATACGTCAATAAACATCTGGTTTATTTTAATTGTAATTTTATTTTTTAACGATTCCGACCATATTTTCATTAAAATACAATATTTATGTAGACATATCAGTATAATGTTAATAATGTTGTACGTATATTTATTTTTAAATAAGTAGGTATGATTTTGATTATTTTTTTAAGCGTTTTTTAAACGTGAAATATTGTGTATAGTCGAATACAATGAAAAAAGCACGTTCGTGAAATGTAAAAAATATCGTCAGCAACTAATCGCAAATTCGTGATCTTGTGACGGTGAGGTGACGGTACGGTGAGAACATTTTTTGTAGCGGTGGGCGCGCCGGGCGAGTGAGAACAAGCGTATTAAGATACGTGTGTTAAGACAAGCCTTTATCTTTAAGAATATTTTTTAAATCCTTGAACAGTCACGGCACTGTCCCGTCACAGGTGTGTATAAATAGACCTTTAACGTTGGTTAATTAATTTATTTTGTTATCTTGTAAAACACCGTTTTTACTGTTTTTCACCTAGTTTATTTAAAACGGTTTGAAGAAAATGTGTATGTCGTTCCATATTCATCATGTTTTTTTGTAATATAAATAATT